CCACTGAGCCACGCCCCAGCCCCTCACTGGGGGATTCTAGGCAGGGGATCTACTACTGAACCACACCTTCAACCATTGCTTTTCTTTTCATTTTGAGACAGGGTCTCACTAAATTGCCCAGGCTGGCTTTGAATTCACTCTCACAGGCCAGGCTAACTTTGAACTTTCGACATCCCTACCGCAACCTTGCAAGGAGCTAAAGTGATACAGTTGTGATACCAAGCTTGCCTCTGTCTCATAGTTTTTGAAATACACCCTAAAGAACTGTTTCTCCCTCCTTTAGCAGCATAGAGTCATCGAATGCAGTATTCCTTTACACATTTTTCACGTGCATTCATTTATTTAGTTTATGTAGGCCATCATATGGAGACCAGAGGACAACTTGTGCTCGTAGGTTCTCTCCTTCTACCATTCAGGTCCTGAGGATGGACCATGGGTCATTGAGCTTGGCAGCAAGCCCCTTTACCCACTGAACCATCTTGCCAGCCTCAAGCTTTCACATATTCTCGTGTGAAGTTGGATAACCTTTGATGAACACTTAGTACATCCCAGATACTTGATAAATTTCTCTTTTACAATAGCTCCTTTAATCCCACGGCAAACAAGGAGTCTGCCCAGATTTCCTCGTCTGTAGAACATTAATTGTTCATACTTACCCTACAGGGCCCCAGTGATGAACAAATGAGGTACAGAACAGACTTCATCTCACATTGAATATCTGATAAATGCTGGCTTGTTAGGGGGCCTACAATGATGTGCATTTTACAGATGAGAAACCTGGTACTTTGGGAGGTGAACAAGTCTTCCTTAAGGTCTTACGTATAACTCAGGAGTAAGAATGTCAACTCAGGGTTGGAGAGATGGCTCAGTGGTTAAGAGTGCTTGCTGCTCTTTCAGAGGACCAGAATTCAGTTCCCAGTGCCCAATTCAGGCAGCTCATAATCACCTCTAACTGCAGTTCCAGGGGACCTGGTGCCCTCTTATGGCCACCATGAGCATTGCACCCATATGCACAATCACACACTGGAAGTGTGATTTAACTGGAAGTGTGTGAATTAACTGGAAGTAAATGTACTTACATAACGAATATGTACTCAGATAATCAGGGCAGGGATGTGAACACATAGCCCAAGTGAGCCCATGTCACAGTAATTCATGTTCTGTACAGAAGAATCTAGAATGATGGTTTTATCTGTCGTCATTATTATTATTTCCTGGAAGAGTGTGGCACTGGCTTGTCACCCCGGCATGTGGGAAGCTGAGGAAGGAAGGTCATGATTTGAGCTCAGCCTCAACTATGTAGTGAGATCCTGTCAAAGCAGGGTCGGGGAGGGAGGGGAGAAGGAGAGAACACAAGATAGAGGTGAGAGGGAGGAGAAGGAGGTATGGAAAAAAAGGAGAAAGGAAAGAGGGAGTGAAGAAAGGAGGGAGGGAGAGAGGGAAGGAGGGAAGGAGGGAGTGAAGAAAGGAGGGAGGTAGAGAGGGAAGGGGGGAGTGAAGAAGGGAGGGAAGGAGGAGGGAAGGAGGGAGGGAGGGAGGGAGGGAATGTGTTGATGGGTATTTGATCACATTGTGAAAACCTTTTCTTGTTGTGGTACGGCTCAGCCCTAGCACATACCTTTAACCCAAGAGCTTATTGTAAACAGGATTATTTGACCTTCCTTCCTTGGCTTCCCACATGCTAGGGTGACAGGCCAGTGCCACACTCTTACCCTAAGCACTGGAATACACTAAGCACATTCAGCGTGTAGGCGCTGTGTTCCCCCCCTACATACAGACCATGACCAAGTTTTATTTATAAACTTTCACAGTGAGAGGCCAACAGCAGAGGCTAATAAAGTAGGATGATCCAAAACAGGATGCTATGATAAAATTTTACTTCAAATTTATGAATTGTTTTCTGGAATTTCCCATTTAGAATTTTGGGACTGTGATTGATCATAGGTAAGAGAAACCAAACATCACTGAATCACAGGTCTAGGGCTGGTTCCAGATGGCTGGTTGGTCCATAATTGTGAGTGCTATCCTGCCAGGCTTTAATATGGCCATTTCGGCCAAGTATGCGATCCCTACACTGGCGAGGTGGAGATACCAGGCTCAAGAGTTCAAGGTCATTCCTAGCTACTTAGCCAGTTTGATACCAGCCTGGACTACTTGAGATCCTGTCTCTTTTAAAAAAGGAGGAAGAAAAGGTCATTTTTTTTGGCCAAGCACATTGGCACAAACCTACATTGCCAGCACTAAATGAGATGAAGCAAGAAGGGTTGTGGGATCAAGGCCAGCTTATAGTCTGAGGTCCTGTCTCAAACCAACCCCTAGACTAGCAAACGCTGACCAGCTCAACCAACCAGGCCAAGGATGGTCTAACCAAGAGTTAAATACTGTCTTCTAGCTTGCCTTTAAGTATTAATAAGTATGATATTTAAAGAAGGTTTGTCTTAACATCCTCATAAGAACACTTACTGTGAAGGAATGAGGTCCTGCGTTTAAATCCCCAGTACCTATGTGAAGCCAGCTGTTGCCATGCATGCTTGTAACCCCAGCATTGCAGGAGGAGACAGGCAGATCCTGGAGCATTTGGCTTTGCTGGAACCAGTGGGCTTCAGTTACGGTGAGAGATCATGTCTTAAAACAGGAACAAAAATGTAAGTTTAGAACAAGAGAGCAAGACAACCAATGTTCTCTTGACCCTGCATGTGTATTTATGCATATAGACCAGACACACACACATACACACACCATCACCACCACCACACATATATACTCTACACACATACACACATCTGTACATACAAACATACACCATACACACCCCTACACACATACACACACAGCCCTACATATAGACACATATCACACACACAAGCATACCTATATACACATACATACAATTTACATATAGACAAACATATCACTACATACATATACTCATACTCCTACACACAGACCTACATACATACACATACCTCACACAGAAACATACCTCTACACACATACACACACCCCTACATACATAGACACACACATTACACACACACAAACATATCCCTACACACATACTCCTACACACATACACACACACACATACACACACACATACACACATATATATATACACATATATACACATACACACACAAACATATCCCTACACACACACATGCACGCATATACACACACTTAAAATCCTTATCTGGCTACTAGATAAGGAATTTTTTAGACAAAAATCTAAAGAGATTAACTCTTCTTGGTGTCCTCCAGTCCCACCTGGCTTCCCCCCTCAGCCTGGCTTGTGTCCTTTGACTCACAATCGTCTGGGGCTGAGACCAAGGCTCATATATCAGATGGTTTATTTCTCCCTGTCATCACACAGCAACCCATTACAGGTTCATTTCAATAAAAGCAGAGTGAATTATTCATCAGAACATCATCACACGGAAAATTATTTTCTCCTCTGCATATAATGAGCTTCGCCAAGTGCCCACAAAGAGGGACGTCACACACACACACAAGTTGAAAGACGAGCCGAAGGAGGCTAGAATCATTTATTTTCTTGTCATCACCGAATAATTCCTACAATAATTGTCTTGGGTAATTACTATGAAAGAAAAGAATCCCAGAGAGTAGGCTGTGGACACCCTTGTGTCCTGGGGTCCTTAACCCCAGTGGTGATAAAGATGGAGAACTGTCTAGTGGCCTCTGTCAAATCTTCCTTCATGCACTCCACAGAGTGAGTATAATCTCTAACTTATGTTTAAGTGATGCATCTGGTCTGCTGAAGCCAACCTGAGCACTACAGGGCTCTGGGCTGGGGATGTAGCTTAGCTAATAAGGTGCATGCCTAGAACACACAAAGCCCCCAGTTCTTTCCTCCATATCATATAAACCAGTTGTGATGGAACATACGTGTGATTCCAGCACTCAAGAAGTGGAGGCAGGAGGGTCAGGGGTTTAAGGTCTTCCTCAGCTGTAAAGCAAGTTCAAGGCTGGCATGGGCTATATAGGTCCCTATGTAATGGTTGGTCTTAAATGTCAACTGGACACAATCTGAGAAGAGAGTCTTCATGGGGAATTGTTGGCCTGAAGGTATGTCTGTGAAGGGTTGTCTTGATCACTAGTTGAGGTGGAAAGACCCATCCTGGACATGGGCGGCGCCATTCCCTGGGCTGTTAATGAGCGAAGCAAGTGAGTACAAGCAGCAGGCAGCATGGATGCATTTGCTTTCTTTGCTCTGTGGATGTGAAGGGACTGGCTGCTTGAGTCTTTGCTTTGGCTTTCCCACCATAATGGGTAGTAGCATGGAATAATAAACCAGATCCACCCTTTCCTCCTCCAAGTGGCCTTTGTTCAAGATGCTTTATCACAGCAACAGAAATGAAGCTAGAACATTCCCTCTCAAGCAAACAAACAAACAAATCCTAAAGCGTTACAGGCTCCAAATCCCCTAGATGCCCTTCCTAAAAGCGACCCCACCTGCACAGAGCTCTGGCCAGAGGCCTATGCCACCAACGCCTTTTGTCTCTCTACTTGCAGAATCCAGGCATCGATATCGGTGATGTCTCAGAAAGAAAAGCATTAAGGAAAAGTTTGAAGTGTAAGAACTTCCAGTGGTACTTGGACCATGTTTACCCGGAAATGAGAAGATACAACAACACTATCGCATATGGGGAGGTAAGATCGACCACACTTGAGGGACAACATGGCCTTTCTCCCTTCCTCCCCTTAGCGATTCTTGGAGGGACAAGGTTCTCTCAATAGCAAGGGTATGAAGGCAGGGATGGGACCATGGCTTTGTTATCTGCCCAAGCAATGACAGTTTTGAGATGTTTTGACATTGGGGGTCTCTGGGCCATGTAAGGGAAGACACTGAGCAGGAACTGGGTCATAAGAAGAGCCAGGGAGCGGAGGATATGGCTCAGTGGTAGAGCTCTTACTTAACATACTTTGCTCAAGTTCCTGGGTTAAATCCCTATTGAGACACACACATACACACACACGAGAGAGAGAGAGAGAGAGAGAGAGAGAGAGAGAGAGAGAGAGAGAGAGAGAGAGAGAGAGAGAGGAGTTGAGGGGAGACAGAGAGATGCAGAAGCAGAGCTGGGTGGTAATGCATACCTGTAATCCCAGCTATAGGATTTTCATGGGTTACATGGTGAGCCAGGACAATTTAGATAATATAGCATTACTCCATCTCAAAAACAGAACAAAATAAAATAAATTAAATAAAATAAAATAGAGAGGCTAGGGTAAGTCCAGAGCCTCTATTGTTCATCATTGTAGGCTGTGGATAACCAGTGATATATGAGAGAGAGGTGGGGGAGGGGAGAGACAGAGAGACAGAGAGAAAGACAGAGAGAGACAGAGACAGAGAGACAGAGAGAGACGGAGAGAATTCTCAGATTTTCTGTAGTGAGGCAATCACACTTTCTAAAACATTCAAACGTCTTGGCATGGTGGTGCATGTCTTTAATCCCAGCACAGGAGGCTGAGACAGGAGAATAAGGAGTTCAAGGCCATCCTCAGCCACACAGTGAGTTTGAGGCTAGTCTGAGCTATGCAAGACTATACCACAATAAACAAACTCAACAAAAAATGTCTTTTGATCTAATCTGCTAGACTCTTGTTCTAGTACACTGTTGCCCACCATGTGGCCCCTCTTAGCCTCCGTTTCTTAGTGTATACAAATGAGAGAAATCCAAGTAGGGATGCTGGGCAGAACGGTGAGCCATGGTCTGTAGGGTCTATAGCTCAGTAGACAATGTGTGGCAGCCATTGGTAATGTGTGCTAACTGCCTTCTCCTCTCCTCTTTAAAATAAAAGGACTTTCATTACTGAAGGAAGGTCAGTAATGTGAAGAAAAAATCAGAAAGTGAGCAGGGACTCTCTAATTGTGTGTCTTGCTTAGCTCTTTGTAAGAGAGGCCATGAGTGGCTAGTCTCCACTGCTTGCCTGGCATATGAAGGGTCCCTAAAGCTCCATACCCTACACTGCATACAGCATCGTGGTGCATGCCTGTAATCAGTTCCAGGTTATCCTTAGCTACATAGTAAGATCAAAGCTATCCTGGGCTACATGAGATCCTGTCTCAAAACCTCTTCCCAACATAAAACGAAGACACGACATAAGTCATAGAGCCCTGGAGATAAATCTGATATCTAAAGGGAGATGGGCTTCTAATGTTGAAAAGGTTGTGGGAGGAAGAGAGGAGAAAAAGCACAATTGATCTGAGCTCATAAAGAAATATAACCCACACTCTGAATGTGGAAATGTTCTGCCAAACTGGAAATTTATACATCACAAATCTTACAGATGAATAGTACTTTATGTGTAGAGAGCCCTACGATTCAATTTAAATAAAAGAATTGATTTAAGTAACAAAAAAAAAGTCCCCCTTCAAAGAAAAATAGACCAGATGTCTTGATTATTTTTCCTGGTGCTGTTAAGAGACACCATGAACAAGGCAACTTATAAAAGAAAGCATTTGCCAGGCAGTGGTGGCACATGCCTTTAATCCCAGCACTCAGGAAACAAAGGCAGGAGGATCTCTGAGTTCGAGGCCAGCCTAATCTACAGAGCAAATTTTAAGAGAGCTAGGGTTACACAGAGAAACCCTGTCTTGAAAAACATAACAAAAAAAAAAAGGAGAGAGAGAGAGAACAGATTTTTTTTTAAAAAAAAAAAATGGTACAGTTGACAGTAGTCGTGAAGCAGGTTTGAGAACCTAGCATTCCAGACACCAAGGCAGGATTCTCGTGAGTTTGAGGCTAGCCTGGGCTACATAGGAAGCCTCTTTCTGGAGAGAGGGTGTAAGAGAAAATACTAATGCCACGTCACAGACAGGCTTCTGGGTACAATGGCAGAGCGTGTCCCTGCGCCACACCAAGGGCAGCCATTCCAGCCAAGCACAGTGTAAACTGGCTATTTGATTGGCCTTGGCAAAACCCAGACACCATAGTTTGATTTCTTTGTCTACAGAGAGCAAATTTGCCCTTGTTTTGTAAATACTACCAATATATAAAGGGTGCAGAAAATGTAAAGATGGAAATAAAACCTCCTGTCTTCTCTGTTTGGTAAATTTACCATATGCTGTTGTAGTTCAGACAGTCTTTGCATTCAAGCAAACAAATTCACTTGGTAATAACATTTATCATTATTTAGACTGTTCATTTTATTTTATTTACTTTAGAGAGACAGGATGTCACAGAGTAAAGACAAGCTGTCTAGAAAGTCATCGTTCTGGCCTTGAACTCAAGGCAATCCTCCTGCCTCAGTTTTTTGAGTGTTGATGTTTTATATATGTTTTATATATAAGTGGTTTCTTGTAGTAATTTAGACGCGTGTGGAGCTCAAGTGTCTGGATTCATGTATGTGCACATGTGTGGAGGCCAGAGGCCAATGCTGGGTGTCATTCTTCAGACACACACACACACACACACACACACAGAGAGAGAGAGAGAGCAGACATACACAGAGAGAGAGAGAGAGAGACAGAGACAGAGACAGAGAGATAGGGACAGAGGCAGAGACAGAGGCAGACACAGAGAGAATTGAGAATGTTTCTTATTGGCCTGGAAGTGGGCTAGGCTGACTGTACAGTGAACCCAGAGCTCCACCTGCCTCTGCTTCCTTAGGACTCGGATTACAAGCATGAGCCACCATGTTTAGCTTTTTATGTGGACCCTGGGGTTCAAACTCAAGTCCTCAGGTTTATAAGGCAAGTGCCTTGCCTGAGCCATCTCTCCAGCCCAGGCCTCTGGGACTTCTAGAAACTTCTGTTACACACTGTTCCAAACCCTGTGTTGTTTGCTTGCTTGCTTGTTTATTTTGTTTTAACTATTTTAAATATTTATTTATTTGTTTGTTTATTTATTACTGTTTTCCATGATTTCTGCCAGGAATGATCTAAGAGACTGATCTTAAGTTCCTAGAGTTAATTAAAACCAGAATCAGTGTTGAGGTCCATTTATGATTTGCTTATACAGCTGCCCTGGGCCTGATCCCACCCTCATCCACCAACCCCCACTGAGATGACTTTAAACCTGAGAGCCATGTGAACCCACCTGAACATCCCTTTAAGGCTGGGGAGATGGTTCCCTTGGTAAAGTGATTACCTGAGTTCGATCTCCAGAACTCATGGAAACAAACAAACAAGAATATAAACAGGGCATGGTGGGGCATACTTCAAATCCTGGCAGCACTGGGGAGGCCGAGTCAGGAAGATCCCTCGGTCTCGATGCTCTAGCCTTCTTGGTGAGCTCCAGGGTAGTGAGAAACCCTGTCTTATGTGTATGAGTGTTTGTTTCTCTTGTCATGTGTGCCCATGTACTATGTGCATGCAGTACCTGAGGAGGCCAGAAGAGGGCAGCACAAATCCCCCTGGATCTGGATGGTTGATATCTGCCATGTGGATGCTGGGAAACAAACCCGAGTCCTCTGCAAGAATAGCATCTTAGCTGATGCTTCATCTCTCCAGCCCCTGTCTCCTTAAAAAAAAATATTATTTATTTGTGTGTATGTATTTGTCTGTGTGGGAATGGGTGTGTGCGGGCGAGCATAGTTGATTATAGAGACCAGAAGAGGGTATCAGATCCCATGGGCTGGAGTTAGAAGCGGTTGTGAGCCATCGTCCTTGAGTCCTGGGAACTGAACTCAGGTCCTCAGTAAGACCAGCCAATGCTCTTAACCACTAAGCTATCATTCCTAACATGTTCTTTTATGGGAGCAATGGAAAAGGAGTGGGGAGGGGGTTGTAGGTCCGACTTCCCAGGACACAGAAACAGGGCTCCCACCTAAGATACCCACTCTAGGGCTTTGTCTGGTATGCTCAAGTTATGGGCTCACAGATTCAAGTGCTGATCCTTATTTGGAAAGAATTGTGTGACCTCTATTAAAATCACAGCCAAGGGATGTTGTGGTGGCTGGGGAACTGCGTCTCTCCTAGATGGTTTCTGATGGGCGTGTTTCATCTCTTCCTACAGCTTCGTAATAATAAAGCCAAGGATGTCTGCCTGGACCAGGGACCACTAGAAAACCACACAGCAATACTGTACCCATGCCACGGCTGGGGACCACAGGTAGGAACATGTATCTGACCAGGAAGGGAGTAAAAGCAACAGTTTCTTCTATTGCTCGTTATTCCAAATCCTTTACTTTTTTATAGAACTTGGAGGTTTTTCTGGTTGTGTCACTAAGGAAGGTAGTTTACTGTGAGGGATTAATACTGATGGTAAGCTTGACAGGACTTAGAATCACCAAAGAGACACCCCTCTGAGCATGTCTGAAATGGATTAGTTGGGTTTGAAGACAGACACATGGGCTGGGGTCTTGGACTGAATACAAAGGAGACAGTGATCTGAGAACCAGCATCCACCTCTCTCTGCTTCCTGACTGTGGATACAATGTAACCAGCTGCCTCACTAGACTGCTGTCATGCCTTCCCCACCAAGATGGGCTTGCACCCTCAAACTCTGAGCTACAATAAGCCTGTCCTTCCTTCCTTCCTCTCTCCCTCCCTCCTTCTGTTCCTTCAGTTGCTTTTGTCATATATTCTGTACAGCAGTAATAAAAGTAAATAATACAGTCACAGCTATACAAGTGTCAAGAGGGACAATGTGTATGCTACATATTGAAAAGAAAATCAGGATAAGGATCAGAGTCATTTACTAACAGACAGAGATGTACTGTATTGTGTCATTTTAACCAAAAATACCTACCTATAATCATGAAGAAACAACAGAGACCCTTTTTTAAAAATATGTATGGGTGTGTCTGTGTTGAGGTATGAGTACCATGGGCATGCTGTACCCAGGGAGACCAGAAGAGGGCATCTGATCCCTTGAAGTTGGGTTACAAAGCAATCTTTACTTGCACAACATGGGTGCTCGGAATTGAATCTGGGTCTTCTGCAAGAGTAACAAGCACTCTTGTCTATTGTTTTACTGAGGGTTTCTATGGCGACAATGAAACACCCTAACCAAAATAGTAAGTTGGAGAAGAAGGGAGTCATTCAGCTTATGCTTCCACATCATGTTCATCATCAAAGGAAGTCAGGACAGGAACCTCAAACAGGGCAGGAACCTGGAGCAGGAGAGGACGCACAGGCCATTGAGGGTGTTCTGCTTACTGGCTTGCTCTCCATGGCTTGCTCAGCCTGCTTTCTTATAGAACCCAGGACCTCCAGCCCAGGGATGGCACCACCCACAATGGGCTGGGCTCTTTCCCATCAATCACTAATTGAGAAAATGCCTTACAATTAGATCTCATAGAGGTATTTCCCCAACTGAGTTTCCTTCCTCTAGTTTGTGTCAACTTGACACCAAACCAACCAGTACACCTACTAAGCTCCACAGAGACCCTTCTGAGAAACCAACTGGCATGTCCACCCTGAAAGCCCTCCATCTCTTTGGTGGTTAAATACCAGTACAAGAACAGAGCCCTCACCAAGGAAAAAGAAAATGTTTTCAGGCTGTCAGAGAATGCAAGGCAGCTTGAAAAGGGCCCAAATGGTCAATAAGTAAGAGCAGAGATCGAAGATTCGAATCTCCCTTAATAACTTGGTATGAGTACGCTGTGTGTGTGTGTGTGTGTGTTCTAAGGATTTAGCAGAAGTTCCCTAAGACAGGGAGGAAGTATATCTCAAATACCATTAGACAGACTTGGCACTCACAGACATAGTAAATATTCTGTCAGCCAGCAATCACAAAAGGCAAGTTACAAACTGGGAAAGCATTTACCCTCCCTTCTTGAAGACCTAGCCAGTCCATGCTAACTTGATATATTAGTTTCTTTTCTCACTGCTGTGACAAAAAACCTGTCAAGAAGCATTGTAAAAGGGCTAGAGAGATGGCCAGGACAGTCCCTGGGGCTTTCTAGTCAGTCAGTCTAGCCAAATCATTGAGTTCCAGGTTTAAAGAAACCCTGCCTCAAAAGACCAGGTAGAAAATGATAGAGGAAGAAGCTGGATGACGACCTCTGGCCTCACATGTTCATACATGCACACACACATGTGCACACATGTGTGCACCGACACACCCATGTGCATACATACACGCACATGCACACACATACACACCTAGAAAAGAGCATTCAGCAGTAGAACTCTTATCTAGTATGCCCAAAGACCTTAGTTTGATACACAGCACTATAAATATAAAACTTTAACTAAAAGTGGTTTAAAGAAGGCCTAAGTAGACCTAGACATGGTGGTGTATACCTGGAATCCCATCTGTCAGGAAACTTGGGATTTTTGAGTTTGAAGCCAGCCTGGGTGAGCTACATAAGAAGAGCATTTAAAGAATCTAAAAACAAAACAAAACAAAACAAAAACTAACTGAAGAACAGGAGCTGAGGAGAGCTTGGTGGTTAAGTGCACATTTTTGCTTTGGTTCCCAGCATCCATGTGTGGTGGCTCACAGCTCTGGCTTCAAGGGATTTGTCACCCTCTTCTGGCATCCATGGAAAACGACATTCGCACATGCATACAGCCCGCCACCCCCACAGACAATAAATATAACAAATATTTGCAAATAAAACAAAAGACTACATCCAGGTAGCAATGAACACTCACAAGCTTCCTCCCTCCCTAAGTAGGAGCCAAGGAGATTGAGTACCACAGTGCTTTTCTGGTGGAAGCTGACTGATAGTCATAGCACAGCACCAGAGCATCTGTCGGGTAATAACTGGAATTCATCTTTTATCTGCCCCACCAGTGGACAGAAAGTCCCTGTCATTTACTTGATTGCAGAATGGCACATAGGCCCCTCATTGGCATCACCGTGCCCAGTTAAAGGATAAACTTCTAACAGCATTGACTGCTTTCTCTGAACTGACATTGAAAGCAGGTCTAACAGTGTTTTCAGCTCCCACTGCACACTCTGAGTATGTGCTTGGCAAGACTCTCCAGCCGCCAGCCAGCCAGCCAGCCTGTGCCTCTGCTCCCCCATCAAAGCTTCCCCTTTCCTTCCTAATGCTGCTCCTTCTGATGGAGGAGTCCCCTTGCCCCACCAAGCACATTGGCATCTTTTTTAAATTGCTCCATAAATACCATGGGCAGAGGCTGAATCATGCTTCCAGACCCAGGCAACTCCCTAAAGAGAAGATGGGCGTTCCACGGCCATTGTTAGCTTAATTAATGGACTCTGTGTTGTAATTTATTATCAAGCAGCAATTAAACAGAGATAAAATAGGCACCTCGGAGGATAATTTCCTGTCTTGCAGCATGTGTTTATCAACAAGATGGAAGTAGTTCCTGGCCACTCAGAGTGCCTGCTTGCGCTGAAGTGTCTGTTACAAGTTAAGAGTCTTGTTTTTGTCTGATTAATAATTTGAATTAGACAAAGATCCACTTTTTTCTTGAGTCTAATATTTGTTTAGATCTTCTTTTAAAATAATTGTGTGTGTGTGCTTACGCACGAATGCACTCACACACGTGTGTTGGTGATTGTGCATGCAAGGGCCCCCAGAGAACAGAAGAGGGCATCAGATCCCCTAGACCTGAAGTTACAGGTGTGAGCTGTCTGACGTGGGTGTTGGAGACCAAGCATGTGGGAGACATTTAAGATTCAAGTTCTAGCAGGAGCCCACAGATCCCAGCCTTTTGCCAGGACTGGGCTAATGCCCAGGATGGTCATAGGACAACCTAACAGAAGGACTAACTGACCATGAATTTGACTTTCTTTGCACCCTTCTTGGTGTGTGTGTGTGTGTGTGTGTGTGTGTGTGTGTGTGTCTGCCAGAGGTTAACTCTGGGTGTCTTTTCTTAGATGCTGTTCACCTTATTTTTGAGACAGGGTCTGTTACTGGCCCAGATCTCACCCGGTAGGCTAGGTTGCCTGTATATTGAGACCTGGGGATCCTCCTGGGGTTACTTCTATCCCCACCTCCCCAGCACTAGGATTTCAAGTGTGCACCATCATATCTGGATATATATTCATAAACATATGCATATGCATATACATATATGTATGCATACATAGCAAGCCACTTAACAGATTTTTTTGTGTGGGTTCTGGGATTCAAGCTCAAGTCTTCCTGCTGGCACAGCAGAGCAACAGGGCCATCTTCCCAGCCCCTTACTTCTGTCTCTCCCAGCCCTAGCAGCCCATCTTCCCCAGCCAGGGTTTCTGATTGCCCTGAGAGGCAGGTCACACTGCCCGCTAGGACCCTAGGGACTTCCTAAAACCTCGCCTCAGTTATTTACTGTCCTGTGGTATCCAGGCTGCCCTCTCAAATCCCTCCAGCTTGACCAGGATGTTTATGAAATTCCGCTGCATCCGCAAGGTGTCGAAATGGGAAACATCACAGCAGGTTGTGAAGAAGCTCCACGGCCGTGACATGTCCATCCATGATGGACTTTTAAACTGACTGGATCTTACAGAGCCAGCCGTAACTGCTGTGAGTTCATGAGGACAGCAGCCCCATCGTGTCTAGAAGGCCGCATCTCTCAGCTCTCCTCCCCATCCTCTGGCTCTTGTTCTTTCTGCCTCCTCCACTTCAGCGCGAGGGAGGTCGATACAGATGTCTCTATACTTATTCTCAGCATTTTGACCAATTATGAGTCCCTCCATTAACCACAGCCCACTGATGAAAGAGGTCAGCATCCCAAAAGCAAGTTGTGCATGAAAGAGAAAACATTCAGTTCCCACTTGCGAGGTGTCTAGCTCTGTTCTGGGGGCGCTTTCTGGTCAGATGATGTTTTTGTTACTCATCTTGTCCTTATGGTAAAATACCTTCAAAAATTTTAAGGGAAGAAGGGTTAACTCTGGCTCTCAGTCCGAGGGTACCGACCATCAGGAAGAAGACGGCATGGCGGCAGAGTGGGCTGTGGGTGTGGCAGCGAGAATGTGAGTGTTTGTTTACATCTTTGTGAATCTGGAAAAAGAAAGGGGAAATACCAGTGCTCAGCTGGTTCTCGTTCTCTCTCTCTCTCTCTCTCTCTCTCTCTCTCTCTCTCTCTCTCTCTCATTCCTCTCTCCCTCCCTTCCTCCCTCCCTTATCTGTGCAAGGATTGTAGGAATTTGTATGCATGTGCATATGTGTATGTATACAGAGGACAAAGGGCAACTTTAAGTGTCATTCCTCAAGGACTTGCTGGTATGTGTATTGAGAGGTCTCTCACGGACCTGGAGCTCACCAAGTAGACTACTCAGCATCACCAAATAGACTCATCAGGGTCACCAAGTAGACTATTCTGGGTCATCAAGACAAGCTGGCTCACCAAGTAGAGGCTAGTCTGGCTGGCCAGCCCACAGATCCATCTGTCCATCTGTCTTCAATCTCCCTCCTGCCACTACTACGTTTATAGACTTTTAACCTGGTTCTGGGGATCAAACTCAAGTCCTTGTGCTTGCAAGGCAAACTGTTTGCTAAGAGAACCATCTTTCCAAGCCTGGCTATCTTTATTTCCTCCTTTATGTTCTCTGGGTGTCCAGCTTATGAGTTAATGCTACCCACATTCATGGAGAATTCCCCTCCTCAGTTAAACTTTCCTGGGATCACACTTACAGGCACACCTAAAAGTATGCCTTATCAATGCCCCACTTATTTATTTATTTATTTGTTTATTTATTTATTTATTTATACATTGTGTGTGTATGTGTGTGTGTATTTCCCTGTGTGTGTGCACATGCATACACATGCACTCATACGCAGGGGTCAGGAGCACAACCTACAGGAACCATTCTCTCTTCCATATGGATTCCAAGAATTGAACTCAAGTCCCAAGGCTTGGCAGCAAACACCTTCACCAGTTGAGCCCTGTTGCCAGCCCCTTAAGCATTTCTTAATCCAACTGAGTTGACAATAGAAATTCACCATGCTCAGGGCCAGGTATACCACTGTCCCTTTTGCCTGTCCTCTCTGTTGGTGTGTATTCCTCTCACTCTCCCTTCCTTCTCTCGGTTAATCTATCAGCAGAACGGCACATGAGAATTGTTTTTTGTCCCCTAATTAAATATAATCCGATCTTAGACTCCCTCTCCAATGGCTTCATCTTTGAAGTGATGTATCATATAAATGCCCTGTCATTATGATGCATTGTGTCAATAAGGTACTCACACCCAGATGAAGTGACATGGCCCAGTGAGCGATTAGCTTGGGGAAGGCAAAAGCAGATGTGAGTGACAGGCAGGAGGCTGCCACCTAAATTCAATCCTTTGAGCGCTGAGGGGAGGAGACAGAGCCACGGGGAGCATGACGAGGTGATCTCCCAAGGAAAGAAGTAGGGACCAGAAATTAGCCTTGTGATTCTAGGGACACGACTCTACTATTTGGTAAATGTCCCTTTTACCTAGGGTGTGACCACTTTATGTTTGATTCATTTTAAAGATTCATTTTTATGTTCCTTATGTATACTTATGTGGGTCTATGCATGCAAGTGCAGTTGCCTTAGGAAGCCAGAAGAGGGTGTCAGATCCCCTGAAGTAGTCTGGCAGTTGTGAGCCACCTGACATGAATGCTGAGAAGCAAGCTCAGGTTCTCGGGTCCTCTAAAAGAGCAACCACTGGACCATATCCCCAGCCCTACCCCTATATTATTATTATTATTATTTATTATTATTATTATTTATTATTTATCATTATTATTATTATATGTTCCAGCCGCTGCACACAACACTGCCTCCATTCTCCATTAAGAGCTCTTTTGTGTGGTTGGTGCTTGTGCATTTGACTGATAATCATTACTTTGGGAACTCTGGCTCCTAGGTCCAAGTGCCTTAGAACTCAGATGAGCATCTTTCACAGAGACCCCAGTAAAAGGCAAGATTATACACTTGGGACTTGCAAACACAGTCTGGGCTTCACGGGACCCACACTCTTTTCCTGTCCATGGTTCACCATCTCTTCCCTACTTCCAATCCCCAATTCCAATCTTCAATTTACCTTTTCTTTTGACATAAGGCTTCACTGAGTTGCCCAGGCTAGCCTTAAAATCACTCATTCTGGTCTCTTATCTCATAGTTATCTTATACATATCTGGCACTTACTGTCCACCCACCTCAGACTTCTGAGTCGGTAGGACCCCAGGTCTGTGTCACCAAGCCCATAGAGGTGCAAGGATAATTTTCAAAGACTTTGCCCATTTTTAACGGAAAGGATCTGAGTTCACAGTAAGTCAGGGTGGGTCCTAAAATGATTGATGTTGATCATTGGAGCCAGTGAGTTCCCACCAGAGGAGGCAAAGAAAGACGGGGGTGGCAGCCACCTGTAATCCCAGCACTCTGGACACAAAGCAAGAGATACCCCAGGACAAAGGTGACTAGCTCAACTAGGCAATTCAGTGAGCTCTGTGTTCAAGTCAGTAAACAAAGTCGAGAGCAACTGAGGGAGATTCCCAGTGTTAATCTCTGGCCTTTATATACATGCACACACAGATGTGCCCAGACACATGCAAACACGCATACACCCATATACGTGAAAAATGAAAACCAGAGACACCCAGTAGGGATGAAGGGGTAGAAGTGGAGATGAAGAAGAGAGGAAGCTTGTAGGAGCAGCCTAGGGACAGACTCAATGCTCAGTCAGCCCACATGCCCAGCCTACAGCACCCCGTAAGTTCATAGAACATCAGCTCTCAGGGGACTTTGGGGCAGCACAAGCTTAGAGTGTTCAGGTGCTGGCAACAGTCTAGGGCCTGGAAACACTAAGTGCACACGGGCCACACTAACATCTATGGAGATAATAAAATAAATTTAAACCACATTAAAATGAAAAGGTCCGGTGAAACAGAAACAAGGCTCTGGTTCTCCAGTGGTGTACACTGTTGTTTTTTATGCTAATTCCATATGTAAATGAGGGTCCGTGTAGAAGGTTCCTGTGCACCGCTAGCCCGCCACGTCCTTTGCCTGACTGGCTCCTGTAACCACAGGCTCTTCTACCCAGCATCTTTGTTTCCTGAAATAACAACTCTGAGACTTTTTATATGTGAGTAAGTGCCTGGGCCAATAGCTTTGCCTCATAACTCCATTATCCCAATTAAACTAATCTAAGTCTTGCCACGTGATTAGTTACCTTTCCTCCAGTTCATGAGTCTGTCTCCATCAGCATTAGGGGTGAATCTCCCCTGCACCTGACTCTATCCCAGAGTTCTCCCCCCCCCCCTTGCTCACTCTCGCTCTCTTTTACAACCCACCTTCTAATTCTGCCTCAGCTTCATTGGCCATAGGCTTTTTATTGACAGGTGATGCTTCCACAGAGTACATAGGAGGTTCTCTCTGTGTTCCCTACATGTACAGAACATCTCAGGACAGGCTGGAGGGATGTCTCAGTGGACAAGAGTGTCCTTGCTGCTCTTGCAGAGGACCCAAACCCAATCCCAAGTACCCATGTCAGGTAGTACACAACTGCTTACAACTCCAGCTCCAGGGGATCCAACACCCTACTCTGGCCTCTGAGGACACTGCACTCAGGTGCACATAGGTTAAATATAAGATAGGTCTTCAGAAAAAGAACAGGGCAGGAGAAAAACTTTTCTATATTCAAAAGAGTAGTCCCAGTCACAAGAAGCCATTCTTACGTGTCTCAGTTGAGCGTGAAGCTAAGACATCAACTGAAGAAGCAGGCTGGACTCAACAGAACACACACACACACACACACACATCTCCTGAACAGAAAGTACACAAACTCCACCGACCCTAGCTTTCCATGCTGACTGTGCCTGATTTTAAAGTGACAAGAGAGTCCCTTAATGGTAAAGGCTTTGCGAGCCATGTTTTTATCGGCAGCTTAATGGATTTTTCAATGCGTCCCAGAGTCATTTCGCAATTATTGTCAGGTTTTTTTGTTTATCTGGCTGTAACCTGAATATTTCAATTCTCCCTCAAGGCTGTTAAATCTGGGTTAATAGTCGTGAGTCTCTCGTAGATCATCTCAGCTAGAACACGCTCTTCTCTTCTAAATGAGAATTAATGGTATTTGGTGGCCAGAGGTTTTATTTTTCCTCCTGCACCAGGGTTGCAGATAATAAGGTTCATTTCTTCTCTTGGACCCAGCAGGCAAATCTAAAATGACCCTCCCCCCATTTAAAGGTATTTAGCCACCACTGGCTCTTTGTAATACACTTTTCTTGATCCTTGTGGCTTTCAAAAATGGGTGGGATGCTGTTAGCCTAAAAACCACAGGGCTGGGGAGATGATTCGGCATGCAAGGACCCACGTCCCATCGCCAGAACGCATGCAGAAAGACAGACAGACATGGTGGTTCAGCTCAGCTTTCAGCACTGCCAAGGTGGAGACATCCCTGGGGCTCCTTGGCCAGTCAGCCTTGCCTCTTTAATGAATACTGGGAAATTGAAAATCCAATCTCAAAATGTAAGGTGTAAGACTCCTGAGGAATGACACCCCAGGCTGACATCTGGCCTACGCGCGCATGTGGACACACACACACACACATACACACGCATGCACGCACACACACAGGCACATATGCACCTTCTCACAAATGTATACCCACATGAGCACATGCACACAGAGACCATATCTGGTTTATGTTTTCGGCTTGACTAGAAAAAATGAGCGAGCAGGAAAGGGGAGAGAGAATGGCTTACAGTGTCTGCCAAATGAAGAAAGGGAAGCAGAGACCAGAGGAATTGAGAAAAGGTGTGTGGAGGCAGATTCCAGTGAATTAGGAGAGACCGTCTAAACCAGATGGAAATAAAAGCAGCCAGAGCCCAGGCCAGGGGCAGGAGACTGAGGGACGGTGGTGTGTACCGTGGCTATGTGAGAGATGCTGTCCGACAGAGTCTCAGAAGATGACTTTAAAGCTGATGGAGACCCAGGCACATGTGGGATGTGAAACTGTCATGGGTGTGGCCAGCAAGTACCTGGCCATCTGAAAGCAGTTGCTAAGAGAGCAGACAGAGTCCACTGTTTAGCG